CCTTAAGGATTTTACACAACAAAGGTTCTTTCCAGGCTTGGTAGAGAGGGATGTGGGTGGCTGGTTAAAGAAAGTACCCTTTAGTACCACCAGCCACGGGGGGGGGGAGACGACAACACCACAACGACGACGACGACACACAGGGGACACGGGGGACACGGGGGGGGACTGCCAGAGGTGAGCCAACAGCAATCCACAGGACAAAGGAAATCCCTTTGGAGCCTTTAGAGTGGGGAGTCTCTGGTCTCTGTGCTTAGAGAATGGCAGGCCCTGAGTTTAGCCATTAGGTGAAAGCACTAGAAAGACTAACTCAGTCAGGAAGCGGATCCCGTTGCCCCACCCTACCTTGGAGCTGCTGCTCGCTGGGGGTTTAGCTGCTCAGCGAAGGTACTGGATAGGAAGTAAGGCTTCGGTGACTCCGCCTACAGTCTACAGGGGCGGCCTCTGATGTAACACTGGGCAGGCAGCCTCTTGAAACAGCATGCCCCGGCATCAGTGCCCCCAAATGGAAATGATTTCTGTTCGTTCTACTCAGTGTTTTCCCCAGGAGTATGTGGTAAAATCTTAGCAGTGGGAAACCCAGGGCAAGGGCCCCACCGGAGGAGGTTATCCTTGAGCCTCCCAAGAGCAGAGTCAAACAAGTGTCTTTCCCCAGGACCAGAAGGGCAGGGGCGTCTGCGGAGGGCTACGGTGTCTTCAGGTGTGATGTGCATTGCACAGGACGCCCCTCCCCCCTCCCACAACTGAAGCCACAGAATGACCTCATGGTGGCCTTCCTAGAGCCTGACCCCCTGAACCTCTCCCACGTCCTAGCTCTGCCCCATGAGAGGGACAATAAGTAAGCCATTGTCCCGTTCAGCTGGGCTTCCCCCTGGCTCCTCCCCACAGCTTTTCTAAAAACTTCCCTCTACCCCCCCCCAATGCTAACATTTTAAGGCTGTCCATAGCCGCAGTGTCCATAAACCAGGAATTGCCACTTGGCACACAGGGGGTGAAGGAAGATCCCCCCCCCACACACACACACACGCACTTTGTTTCCTACCCATCAGCTGCCAATCTCCAAAGACAAGGAGGGACTGAGGAATGGGAATCTGGTTGTGGGAGTAGCTGGCAGTATAATTGATGCTTGGAGTCCACTTACAACCTGGGCCCTTATTGGGATGGGCTGGGGCTTGGGCCGGGGGTTTATTTATTTATTTTGTTTTTTTGTTTTTGTTTTTCGAGACAGGGTTTCTCTGTGACTTTGGAGGTTGTCCTGGAGCTAGCTCTTGTTAACCAGGCTGGTCTTGAACTCACAGAGATCCGTCTGCCTCTGCCTACCGAGTGACACCACTACCCAGCCAAGAGCCCGGGGTTTAAATCCTCTTTGGGAGGCTTTCCTGTTGGACTCTGAGAAGGAGGAATGCCTCACTCTGTAACAGAGCTTCCCCAGATGGACAGAGCTGGGATCCCCAAGGGGCCTGGTTCCAGCGGGCATCTAGTGTGTTGCTATTTTGAGGACAGCCACCTGCCTGGGGCCATCATATGAGTGCCAGGGGGTTCCTAGTGTGAGGGTGGCTTGACTCTTTCCTGTGCAACTGCTTCCAGTTTCGCCGGCCCCGGGGACTTAAGACTGAACCAGTGAAGAGCACCCCAGGGGCTTGGCTGAAGAAAGCCAAGGGGCATTGTTTCAGTTTTCTATTCCCTAAACCCTTCTAGTTCATTCCTTTGGCTCTGGAGCCAGGCTTCCGGGGACCTAGGGTAGTGACCTCGTGTCTTTTTTCTGCATGGTACACCAACAACCTGCGGCAGCTTCAATTTCTTCCCTCATGGCTCTGGAGCTGGGAGTTCAAGGTGTAGGCGGGGAAATCGTTGGCTCATAGATGGTGGTGTCTCTCTGAATCCTCACAAGGATGCCCCTCCGTGCTTTTCCGGGTCAAAATCTGTCCCTACGGTGCTCTAGGATGTGACCCACTCCGGCAGCCACCTCACTTGAATTTAGTTAACCCTTGAAGGACCTTGTCTCCAAAGTCCTATCCTCAGGTTCTGAGTGTTAGGACTTCAAGATCTGTAATGGAGCCGTTCAGCCCCTAACTGCCCTGAGAAGAGGAAGCCGGTGCAGAGCCTGGCCTCGGGTTCCAGGCATACACAAACCAGGGGCCCAGGCACTGCCGGGAGGCGTGGAGGCGCTGTTGGTGCTCACAGCTACCTGGAACTCCAGTTCTAGGGGATCTGACACTCTCTTCTGACCTCCACGTGACATACATACATGCATGCAGGCAAAACACCCTTATCCATGAAATAAATAAATCTTTAAGACAGAAAGCCCTGGATTGAAGCAGAGCTGGTGCCTTGTCGGGCAGACAGCGATGAGTATTCAGCAGGAGGTGACGAAGAATGGCATTGAGAGAATGAGGAGGTCCTCGAGCATCCTGGGGACACTGGTCCCCCGGTCGGTCGGAGTCTGGAAAAGTTATAGTCTTTCCTATTCTCAGTGCTTTCTGTTTCTTCAGATAGGGTCTCATCATGTAGCCCAGGCTGGCTTCAGACTCCTCCTGGTAATCCCCCTGCTTCAGCCTCCCTAGTGATGGGGTTTCAGGCCTAGATGTTACAGAAAATGAAAGCTATGGGCCGCTCTGTGTGATGGGATCGCTCTCAGTGCCCGAGCATGGTCGGCTGTCGGGGCTCCCTGGAGAGCCATTGGCTGTGTGGGCCTCACCTATACTTAGCAGAGAAATAGAAATATGTGTTTGTGCCTGTGTGTCCTTTAAGACTGCGTTTGTTTGTTTTTGAGGGGTACACACGTGGAGGTCAGAGGATAACCTGTGGGTGTCGGTCTGTCCAGGAGATGGAACTCGGGTCGTCAGGCTTGGTGGGCAAAGTGCCTTTACCCACTAAGCCATCCCAGAAGCCCCAATACCGTGTATTTTAGTATCGCTTATGGGCTGTTATAATGACTGCCCTCTGAGCCTCCTTATCCCAGCCGGCCCTGTGGACTGTTAGCATCCCTTCGTGAGGAGGTAAAATGTCACAAGACCCTCACCTGAGGGTCCAGCAGCTTCCTGCCACCTGTTGTAGGCACCTCTGCCTTCCTCACGCGTGTCCTTAGGGAGGAGCTAGAGCGTATGGGAGGACTAAGGGGCAGCGGGGGAGCACTCTCCATCTAGAGGGCCCATGGGGAAGTCCTCATCCCTGATGGCTAAAGGAAGGGCTTCATGATGCAGCCTTTTAGAGAGGAGCACCCACACCGGCAGAAGTAACCCCTCATCTGTGATCTGTAAGGAAGCCCCAATAAATTCATTGTTTCTCCAGCGGGAACTTCTGGCAGAATCGTGTCTCAGTTTGGGACCTCAGGGGAAGAAGTAGACCTTTGCTTGTGCGCCCAGGCCCCAAGGAGTTTTAGCTAGAGCTGTGTGTTTCACTCCTTTCTGTCCGCGGCATGTATGATAAATGTATGGATGTGTGTGTATACATGTGCACACACCATACACTACACACTACACACACATCCACCGGCACACTTCCGATGAACACGGAAACGTTACAGCCTCCAGTGTCTGCCTTCCAAGTGCTGGGATTACAGGCATGCACCGCCATGCCTGCCTCTAATCACAGTCTTCACAGCAGCTGGCACACGTGTGGCTGCCTGGGCTTGTGTGAGCCGCATGAATGCTCACCCAGTTCTCCTCAGATGGTGCCGTCATCACCCCCACACTGTGAGAGCGCTGGCGTGCGGAAGCTAAGCCGCGGGCCTGAGTGGCCAGAGTGGTAATTTGGACCCAGCCCATTGCGTCAGAGTCAGAGCTCTCAATCCTGTGTTACCTCCATAAGAGGTGTCCCTCTGATAAGTTGTTTTGGAAGGAGATTGGGCAGGGGTTTTTGGAGAGGGGACTTGGGACTTGGACCTAATTCCAGTTGTGTTTCGGACGGGCATTGTTCTCCAAATGGAGTAGCAGAGCAGGACAGTGTCCTCGGTGGTGCACCGCCTGACAAGACGTTCTAGAGGGTCACTTTGACCCTTGGCGGGCTATACTCCCTCCACATAAGAAAGGAGGCCTCAGGCCCAAGGGGATTTACCTATGCATAGCCTATGATTCTCGACCCTGGATTCTTCCAACTCCTGCAACCCCAAGATGGCCCAGGTTGCCAGGGGACTGACTGAGGGTGTGAGTCTTGAAGCTTAGACGTGCTTGCTGATGTTTGTATACTGGTGGCCACACCCCCCTGGGTGTTGTGAGAGGGCGGGGCAGGCAAGCAAGAACTGGATCTGTCTGGCCACGCCTCACTCTGAGGAGCACTGAACCCTTTTTTTTAAAAATTATTTTATTTTTCAGTACGAGTGTTTTGCCTGTGTGTATATGTCTGTTTGCCACATGTGTGCCAGAAGAGGGCACTGGATTCCCTGGAAGTGGGGTTAGCAGTCTGCAAACACCGGCGTTTGTGTCCAGCCTGGGGGAGCCTGGGGTGCAGGGGTTGGGAGTGGATTCTCTGGGTCTGGATGGGAGAGATCAGAGGCTCTGGGTAGGCAGATCCCCTTAGCCCCAGATGGTCGGGAGTTACCATGCCAGTGCTTAGAATGGAACCCAGGTCTCGGAAGAGCAGCCAGTGATCCTGACCACTGAGTTGTGTCATTTGGGGGAGTCTCACTTTGTAACCCAGGTTAGTATCTCACTGAGTAGTCCAGGTTGGCCTGGAACTCACAGTGATCTGTCTGCCTCTGCCTCCCACGCACCCAGGTTGCAGGCCGGTGCTACCGTGCCCAGTTTCTGTGGCCCTGGAGATTGACCCAGGAGAGCAATCACTCTCCTGACCAAGCCACAAAGTACTGAAATTCTAAATTAGAGCAGGCTACCCCATGCCCTTCCCGCCCGCCCTCGCTCTACAGGGACACGCTCTCTGATGCTGGTTTGGGAGTCATTGTCCTCTGCAGAGAGGGCCCCCATCATTTTTGCCCGTGACAACACTGCAGGGCGTTATGGGCTAACCTCAGGGCCTCTCTCTCTCTTCATGTTACTCTTCAGCTGGGGTGTCCCCCTGGCCATCACGGTGGCAGCCGTCTGTCTAAAGAAGATAGGCTACGATGCCTCAGATGTGTCCGTGGGCTGGTGCTGGATCAACCTGGAGGCTGAGGACCGTGTCATGTGGATGCTGCTGACTGGGAAGCTGTGGGAGATGCTGGCTTACGTCTTGCTGCCTCTGCTCTACCTTCTGGTCAGGAAGCACATTAACCGAGCGGTAGGTGTCTCATGTGCTAGCCTTTCGGGGACCAAACCAGTGCCGGGACTTAGGGACTGTGTGCTTGGACTGAGTATGGGATCGTTAATAGACGCGGAGGCGGCTCAATGGTCCTGGTATAGGTGAGACAGAAGCTGAGGGAGCTCAAAGGTAGCGTAGCTAGGACCGCAGAACTGCATTCTCCGCTGAGGTCCTGCACTGCCCCCATGTGGCCATCTCCAATATTGCACTAAGGCGCTCAAAGTCGAGGACGATGGCCACAGATGATTTGTTCACCTACGCTTGGTGGTCAGAATTGTGTGCCAAGTGTCAGGCTTTTCAGGAGATCATAAGTCAACAGGGATGTCCAGAAAGGGGGGCAGGTCCTCAGACAGGTGAAGCCTAAGCAATCATGGTCAGAGACACACCAACCAGTGGCTGAAGCTCTCATAGCTTCGCCCTGAATCCAGACTCCAGCAGAGCGAAGTCCACTCCTTTCTCTCTCTCTCTTTTTTTTTTTTTTTTGTTTGTTTGTTTGTTTTTCGAGACAGGGTTTCTCTGTAGCTTTGGAGGCTGTCCTGGAACTCACTTGGTAGACCAGGCTGGTTTCGAACTCACAGAGATCCGCCTGCCTCTGCCTCCCGAGTGCTGGGATTAAAGGTGTGCGCCACCAACACCCGGCTCCTTTCTCTCTTTTTCTTTCTTTCTTTCTTCCTTCCTTCCTTTTTTTTTTTTTTCAAGACAGGGTTTCTCTGTATTGCTTTGGAGTCTGTCCTGAAACTCGCTCTGTAGATCAGGCTGGTCTCGAACTCACAGAGATCCACATGCCTCTGCCTCCCAATGCTGGGATTAGAGGCGTGCACCACCACCGCCCGGCTCCCTTCCTTTTTTATATGTACTATTTTTTTTGAGATAGGGTCTTGTTTTATTTTGTTTTGTTGTTGATATGCGGGTCACATGTAGTTCAGGCTGGCTGTCCTGGAACTCACTATACAGTCAAGGATGACCTTAAACTTCTGATAACTCCTGCCTCCACCTTAAAGCACTAAGACTGCAGGTATGCACCACCGCACCAGTTTCTGCAGGGCTGGGGGTCGAACCCAGGGCTTCGTAGTGCTAAGTGAGTGCTCTGTCAAATGCACTGTGTACCTTAGCTCCAGACACAGACACGAGAGGCAGGAGGATCAGGAGTTTATAGTTGTCCTCAGCTACATAGTCCAAGGCTAGTCTGAGCCATGTCAGACCCCGTGTCTGGGGCTTGGGAGGACAATGGGGCAGGAGAAGATGGGCTAAATGGAGACACAGGGGTGTGGGTGTAAGTGCTGTGCAGGGGTGAGGAGTCCCAAGGACACAGATGTCTGCAAGGAGCATCTGAACTCGGAGATGGCCAATCAGGGCCGGGGATGATAGCGCACATCTTGCATCCCAGCAGTGGGAGGCAGAGGCGGATGGATTTCTGTGAATTCAAGGCCGGCCAGGGCCACACAAGGAAGAGAAAAAAGAAAAGAAAGGACAAACGAACGAACCGCTCAGTCAGAAGCACCCATGCCTGTGGGCATGGCTCGGTGATAGAGTATTTAAACAAGCAGAGGCCCTGGGTTCAAGCTCTAGTACTGCAAAACAAAACATGCCCGTGTCCTCGTCCTTGGTGGCCCCACTGGAGTCCTGGAGAGCAGGGCTAGCAGTGGCTCTCATGCAGGCCGACGGCAGCCTTTTTCCGGATGCTCTTCTCACTGCCCGCTGGCCTGGGAAGATGGAGGCTGCTCCCGGAGAGTGAGCCCCCCTCCCCGCCAGCTCTAACGGGCTCCACCCTGTCATGTGTGCCCTTGTCCCTTCCTGAGCAGGGACTGGTGTCGGTGTCTGGTGCTAAGGTGCACGGTGCATTTACTTCCCAGGCCGGTCCCCGCATGTGACAACAACTCTTGCAGCTTGTCTAAGGTTTTTGGGGAGAAAAGGAACGGCACCAGCAAGGAGGGTGAACACAGAGTCATTTCCTGCCTGGAGGCGGGGAGGAGAGCTGGGAATAAATGGGGAGGCAGGCTTGGTCTTAAGGAGCAGCCGAACTGGTCCAGTCTCTCCAAGCTGCACCACCTGCTGTTGAAGCTCTCTACCCTCGCCCTCTGTGTGAGGCGGGCACTCAGCTCCCTGGGCCGCTGCCACAGACCCTTAGGCTGGGGTCCTGTAGCCAGGGGAGCTGTTGAAGCTTGGCACTCCGATGCCAGGCATGTGGTTACTCCCTCACCAGGCTTCAGGGCCCTAAACTCATGGCCAGGCTCGAACCGACGCCCCTCCTTGTCCGGTTCAATTGGTTTTTACAAACTTGATTGTGGCTTGAAGCTGAGCATCCTTCCTGCCCTGACAAACGTTCCTCAGGACCTCAGGGCCAAGGCTGGCCCCTTCTGTGGGCAAGCCGGCACCCTGGGGATCTTGCATTGTGGAGGGGGAGGGGGATGGCAGCAAGCTAAGCAGTAAGGGTGAGTGACATGGGGGTTGGGGACACGAGGTTGGGAAGAACCATGGAAAAGTGACAGCAGTCCGTGGCTGGAGTGGGCTGGGGGCTGTTTGTAAGATGGCTGCTGGTGAGTTTCATCCAGTGCGTGACCCTCAGTGAGGACTTGTAGGTGAGGGAGATGCAAGTGACTGAGCCTGCTTCCCAGCCTGCTTCCTGTCCTGCTTCCCAGCCTGCTTCCCCGGGTACAAGGACCAGCTAAGACCTGGGGCTGGAGGAGAGCCTTGTGGCTGGAAGAGGGAGCCAGGGAGGGACTGGGCCCAGAACGGAGCCAGGGCTCACGTGATGGGATAGCGTAAGGAAGGGATGAAACAGAGCCACCAAGAGCTTTGAGTCGAGGGCTTGCCCAACGTGCCTTGGACCCTCTGAGAACGTGCCTCTGCATTTGGGGTGGCCTGCAGCAGGAAGGAGGGGGAGCAAGCAGACATGGCGGCCATGCCACAGTGTGGTGGGTCAGAGTATGCCGTTTCTGGGTCTGTTCTGCAGGCGGGGCCTCTAGGACTTGCCCATAGGTCAGATGAAGAGATGATGTCCGTCCCCCAGGTGACAGGAGGAAGTGTCCTTCAGCTGAGATGAATGTGCGGTGGGCCTGAGCGTTGATGAGGGTTCATGAGGGTTCATGAGGGTTGCTCATCCTGGGCAGGGTTTATCACATCTCCGAGACACTGCTGTGGAGATGTGGAGTAAGCAGGGGATCCCTTCGGGGAGTTGGAGGTTGAGGGGGTGGCTCCTGGTCCGATACAGACCCCAGGCCTCCTCGGCGTCCAAGTGGGAAAGGCAGCAGTGCCCGCTCTTGCCTTCCGGGGCTGGCATGGGTGTGTGGAACCGCATGGGTGGGGGTGGTCAGAGACCCACCTGGCTCAGGCCTCTGCTCCCCGTCCTCCGCACAGCACCAGGCACTCTCGGAGTACCGGCCCATCTGCGAGGTGCGACAGCTGCATCGAGGCTCCCCCGCCTCCACGGCTGACAAGAAGCTAATCCTGATCCCGCTGATATTCATCTGCCTCCGGGTCTGGAGCACCGTGCGCTTCGTCCTGACCCTCTGCGGCTCCCCGGCCGTGCAGGCGCCTGTGCTGGTGGTTCTGCACGTACGTCTGTCCCCGGTCCCCGTGGGCCCTGCTGCCCCACAGCAACATAGCCAGATCCCTTCCCTACAAACAGATGCTTCTCAAGTCCCAGAGTACTGGCCAGGGCGCACCTATGGCAAGCAGGGTAGCTCAAGGGTCCTTTCCCTGTCCCCAAGCAAGCGTGGCTTTGCAGGAAGGGATGGGGAGAAATCTGTGGTGGTTCTTAGCAACCTAGAGAAGCCCGAGTAGAGCTGACTGATCCTGGATCCTTCTCACTGCTGAAGGCCTAAATGCGGTTCTGGTGAGGCGGTCAGTTCAGGCCTGCTCAGAACTCTGCTAAGGGCCACGTGGCCAGCTCACCCCGAGACAGTTTAGAGGCAGGGACAGGAGAGGTCATGGGATTCATAGCAGACCACTGACGCCCCGCCATGGTGTTTCTAAGATGCTCCCAGCCCTGTGTTTATGATTGTCCCCTCCCCAGGGCATTGGGAACACCTTCCAGGGAGGAGCCAACTGCATCATGTTCGTCCTCTGCACCCGAGCAGTCCGCACAAGGCTCTTGTCCCTCTTCTGCTGCCGCCGCTGTCCTCAGCCCTCCACCCAGAACCCTCCCGGGGCGCCTACCCCCCCCAAGATGAGAGACTCTCGGGAATCCAGACGGATCCCAGAAGGCCCCAGCACTTGAGCGGACACTTTCCTCACGGTTCTCTCCTTCCTGGTTCCTGCGGCCACCGGGTTACAGGGTCATGCGCACTGGAAGCTCGGACGCCCGCGAAGGAGCAGTCAGTGCAGCCTCATCTACCTCCTGGACTCTCGGGGTCGACGGTGCATTCCCTGCACACCCGTGTCCTGGCTCAGTGGGGTTTGTTTGCGTAAGCCCAAAGATTGGGACTCAGGGAAGCCAGCCATGCTGGAACCTGTCAGGGCACTGGTTCTTAGTATCCTGTGGCCACCAGCGCTGTTCACAGTTTGAGGGACCCATGCCTGTGGACCCCTACCAGGCATGACATACATCCCCACCCAGACGTCACAGTGTGGGGCCCAGGTATGCCAGGGTATTGAGATTCCCTAGAGAGCCTGGAGTATTTAATCGCTGAACAGCAGAGGCGGGTCCCCTCAAAGCAGGTCCACTGAGGTCACAGGAGACTCCGTCACTGATCCAAACCACCCAGGCATGCACTCATGGCATCTCACGGATTCTCTGCTTGGGCCTTCAGCCTCAATATTTATTGCATTTCAATTTCAGCTCAGGTCGGTGTCCAGAGTCCTGCCCATTGGTGAATCTCTTAACATTCGGGTCCCTTCCAGTACGGGGACAGAAGAGAGCCTGGCTCCAGCCCCTAAGGGCGACACACTGTCCCACCTGCTGTTCTCATGGACTCCACCCCCCTGTTCTCAGCGATGCCTCTAGGGGTGGATTGGGAGTGTGTCTGGCTTTGCACTTTGTTTAGTTGTGTTTTGTTTGTTTTGTTTTTAGGAAAGGTAATTAGGGAGTTGGTGAATGGTCCCAATACTGATTCCTCCCAGAAGGGATGTGTTTTGTGATTCAGCCTTTGGCAGAGACGTAGCCTAGTGGTCATTTCCAAGTTGGTCCCTGCACCAAAATATTTTAAAAGATATAGGAAGAGGATTCTGAGATGATTACCTTTTATTTTATTGTTTGAGACAGGGTCTCGTTGTGTAGCCTTGGATGGCCTGGAACTTGCTGTGTAGACCAGCCTGGCCTCTAACTCACAGAGATTCACCTGCCTCTGCCTCCTGATAATTATATTTTTTAAAAAAGGCTTTGTTTTGTGCTTTCTGTACTAGGGCCTGTACCCATCAAGCAAGTGCTCTGTTACTGGCTCTGCCCCAAGCCTCCCTTTTGTCTTTTGTTTTGAGACAGAGTCTCACTAAGTTGCCTAGTCTATGAGCCAGGCTGGTCTTGGACTTGTGATTTCCCTACCTCGACCTCCCAGGACACTAGGACTACAGCCTCAGGCCACCATACCCAACCAGAGAAGGGTGTAAGTAAGCTGTGTGTCCATTTCTACTCAGTGGCTCTCCTACCAACATTTTCCTCAATTCAGAGAGCAGTATCTGCAGAGTCCTGGGCAGTGTGGCCGCCACTCGAGTCGGGGAAATGTTCTACTGTACCTGCAGGTAGTGTCGTTGGATTCTACCAAGCAGAGAGGATTCAGAGCTCTCAGAATCTCTACCAGGAAAGGAATAGTAGCCCAGAGGGCTCCTTTTCTAATTTCCTTGGAAAGCGTTTCTTCAGGAAAATCTACAAGAGGTGAGCTCCCTTCTGGGAGTCAAAGAAAGCTCCTGGGCAGGGGGCTGCCTGTTTACAGAAACCGCCTATGTAAGGGGCATAGGGCATGCTGGGGTCCTGTGAAGACATTACAGCCAATTTGTGCACTGTCAGCGTGCTGCCGGTAATGATCTCCTGGCTTCGAAAATGGAGCAGAACTTCTAGGACTGTGTTTCCTGCAGAGGAGAAAAAGATCCATGAAGTACCGCGGAGGAAATGGTGCTGGAACAGACCCAGCTGGGCAGGCCATTATGGAGCCCTGGCTGTTGGAGGTCCTGGAGCCTGGGGCTCACTCAAGCTCCCTCCTCGTGACGACTGATGCCAGCCATCGGCCGGGCTTGCTGTCTGTAAAACCCTCCACAAACCCACACTCTGCCTCTGCCCATCTGTCTCCCACGCTGCCCTGCCGCTGCGGGCGAATGGTGGTGACCCCAGGCTTGGTGCCTTGCCTCTGGCCCTTTGGCTCACAGACACCATCCTCAGATCCGGTGACCAAGGGCGTCGCTTGGGTTCTTAGAGTTCAGAACTGAAGATGGAAGGAAGGTAGAGTCTTCAGTGCCCAGGCGGGGGCGCTAGAGGCTGCTGGCTCCACCATGCCTTGCTCAGCCTGGTGGCTTTCTGTCTTTGATAGTGTTAGTCACATTTATCTCTCCATGCCCCTCTGTCACCCAAAGGTGACCTCAGCCTTAACCGGTTTTGCGGCCCTTGCCATGTTTCCCGTCACCCTCCAACACTTTGTGACTCTTGCTCTCCTAATCAGTTACCAGCTGCTTCCTGCCTCTGTCCATCTGGGGCGGGGTTTTATTTTGTTACACACACACACACTTTTTGGAGATACCAGGGGATTAAACCTTGGTCCCTGTGCTAGACAAATGCTCTAGCATTTACCTACTTCCCAGCCCTTGTATTTTATCTCTTAAGTTTTGAAGCAAGGGGTTCTCACTAGTTGTTCAGGCAGGCCTCGAACTTGAGATCCTCCTGTCTCAGTTTCACTGTTTCTGGAACTACAGGTCTATGCCACCAAACCCAGCCGACTCTCTGAAGCCTTTTAGTTCGGTCTTTCTGTCTCCTCCAAAAGAGTAGCGAATAAAAGATTATTATGTGTCCGAAGCCTAGAGTACACATGGAATCCTTCATTTGTCTTCTGTGTGTGTGTGTGAATGCTTCTGTGTATGTAAGTGGGGGACAGAAGGGAGTCTGACCCCCAGAAACCAGGGTTACAGGTGCTTGTGGGCAGTGGGTAAAGGGAACTAACCCTGGGACATCTACAAGAACAGCAAACGCTGAGCCATCGCTCCAGCCCTCTTCATGGCTTTTGTTTTGTTTTTTAAGATTTATTTATTTATTAGCTGGGCGTTGGTGGCGCACGCCTTTAATCCCAGCACTCGGGAGGCAGAGGCAGGCGGATCTCTGTGAGTTCGAGGCCAGCCTGGTCTACAAGAGCTAGTTCCAGGACAGCCTCCAAAGCCACAGAGAAACCCTGTCTCGAAAAAACAAAAAACAAAAATTTATTTATTTATTATGTATACAGCATTCTGTCTGCATATATGCCTGCAGGCCAACAGAGGGCACCAGATCTCATTACAGATGGTTGGGAGCCACCCTGTAGTTTCTGGGAACTGAACTCAGGACCTCTGGAAGAGCAGCCAGTGCTCTTAACCTCTGAGCCATCTCTCCTGCCCAAGTATTAACCTCTTCATGTTTTTATGAACTCACAGTTGTGGCATAATTAAGCCTAGCATGAGAGTTTGGGGAAGTGTGATGTTTCACCCTGGCTGGGTGAAAGCCCAAACAAACTCTTGCTGTTTTAAATTAAATGAATCAATTATTTTTCTCCTGTGCTTGCTAAAGTGATCCCACACTGATGTGGGGAGGGGTGGGTGACCTGAGGTGTGGTGGCTGAGGCCTGGAGAATCCTGCCTTGTAAGACGTGTAGTCACCGGCCACATGCTTGGGCTTCATAGACAGACTCTTGAGAAGAGCAGGTACACGGTTTTTTTTTAGTGGCTGCAGTCCCCTACGCTCTTGTCTAGCTTCTGTCCTGAAGTCCTGGGCAAGTTGCACTCTGTCACCCAGGGCTCATCCACCCCCCTCTTCCATCCTCCAGAACCTTCCACCTTTGGTAGTTCATTCTCACACACAGTTTCCCACCCTCCCTGAATCTCCCCGACCCTCCATGACCCTCCATAGCATTCTATGACCCCTCCTGGCCTCCCCGACCCTCCATGGCCTCCACAATCCTCCACGCCCCTCCACTCCCCACTGACTCACTGACTGCCCGTGCCCCCTCCTTCCCATCCATTCCTCCCGCCTGACCTGACTGGCAACCTCACTCTGACGCCACCTCCTGCCTTCCTTTCCTGTTGAGGAGGTCCTCTGCAACACCCAACTCCATCTAGACCGTGAGTCCGAACCTCAGCTTCTCATTGCTGAGATCACAGGTCTTACACACCTGTGTCCTGATTCACTGGGGTGAGCACAAGGAGGTGGGCTTCAGGGAAGCCAGCCACGCGGGGTCCACGCATCCAGCCCCTGGCTGTGGGAAGCCAGCCACGCGGGGTCCACGCATCCAGCCCCTGGCTGTGCATTCCAGGCTTCCCTGTCTCCCAAGCTCTCTCCAGCCTTCTCCCAGCAGCAAATGCAGCTTGCTGCTCCTCCCTGCTCTGCACTGTCCCTGGACTTGGTGGCCTCTTTTTGCCCTTAGCCAATGGACACCTAGTAGGATGACCTCTTGTGCCCACAGATTCCTCAGCGGAGCTCTAAATACTACATGCTCTTCTAGGGCTATGTGTTTCAGGGACCAGCCCAGCATGCATCTGTGTCCTGGTTTCATTTCTGTTGCTCTAGCTAATAAAATATCCTGACAAAAAGCAATTCAGGGCCCAAGCCTGGTGGCTCACCCCTTTAATCCTAGTGCCTGGGTGGTAGAGGCAGGAGGATCTCTGGGAGTTCAACACCAGCCTAAGCTACAGAGAGAGTTCCAGGCAAGCCATGGCTATATAGTGTTTCAAAAGCAAACAAAACAAAAACAATAGAAAGTGACATAGGAAAAGGGTTTATTTTAACTTACAAATTCAGGTTCCATCATTTCAGGAAACTCACACCTGCAGAAACTCAAGTCAGCCGCTCATATCACGTCCCAGAAGAGCAGAGACAGATAAATGCAAGCACATTTTGGGGGTGGGGGTGGAGGCAGAGGAGGGCTTTGAGACAGGGTTTCTCTGTGGCTTTGGAGCCTGACCTGGGAGTAGCTCTTATAGACCAGGCTCTCGAACTCACAGAGATCTGCCTGCCTCTGCCTCCCGAGTGCTGGGATTAAAGGCGTGCGCCACCACCGCCAAGTTGCAAGCATACTCAATCTTCGACATTCCAGGGCCCAAGCCGGAGAATGGCACTGCTCATGTGCATGCTGGGGCTCCCTACATCTTTCAAGGCAAGCAAGATAGTTCCCCACGGACAAGCTTTCTCAGTGGGTAAAGTGCTGGCTGGGTGGTTATGAGGACCAGAGTTCGGGTCCCAGCACCCACTGAAAAAGTAAAGCATGAAGGTGTGTGCCTGGAATCCCAGCACTGTCGAGGCAGAGACAGGAGGACCCCTGGGTCTTACTGGAAAGCAGTCTAATCAGCGAGGCCCAGGTCCCAGTGAGAGACCCAGGTCCCAGTGAGAGACCCTATCTCAAAAGAACAAGGAGGATGGCACTGGAGGAATGACACCAGGTGTTGTCCTCTGTTCCCACAGGCAAACACACATCACACGTACACATGAGCACCCACATGTGTACACATGCCCCCCCACTCACACACTCACACAGTCAGAAACTGATGGAAGTGAGAAGCTGGCCGGTGTAGTTCAGCATAGAGTATTTTCCTTGAGTGAGTATCCGCAGGCCACTAAAAAGGAAACAGAAAAGAAGGCACCTTCCTGCTACCAGGTCTGTGAGCCTCGAGGCTCTGGAGGGAGACTAGACTCCAAGCACAGCCTCCCTCCCGTTACTAACTAGATCACCGGCATCAGTGCCGGCCTCCCAAGCTCAGTTGTCGTAACTAGGTAACAATGAGACCAGAGTGGCCCCAGGGCATCACACGAAGACACCTGGAAGAAGCCTCTGACCAGGTTGTCACCTCCACTGCTGCTCAACCTGTCCTGGGTAACTGAAGCCACCCTGAAGATCCCATTTCCTGATGACCCTACACAGATGACATCACAGCCGAGAGCCAAGGTGCAGCCACGGCCATCAGAGGTGACCCCAAAACAGAGAACTTTTTTTTCTCTTCCGGACAAGGTCTCACTGTGTAGCCCTGGCTGTCCTGGAACTGGCTCTGTAGATCAGGCTGGCCTCGAACTCTCTGCCTCTGCCTCTGCCTCTGCCTCTGCCTCTGTCTCTGCCTCTGCCTCTGCCTCTGCCTCTGCCTCTGCCTCTGCCTCTGCCTCTGCCAGGTAGGTGCCACCACGCCTGGCTAATTTAAAAATGTTTTATTTATGTATGCATGCTTTGTGCATGCCTGACACTCTTGGAGGTCCGAAGAGAGGTCAGGTCCCTGGAGTTATAGGCTGTTGTGAGTCACCACCTGGGTGCTCGGAACTGATCCTGGTCCCTGGGAAGAGCAGCCAGTGCTCTAACCTCTGAGTTATCTCCCCAGCCCCAACAAAGACTTACTTTTTAAATTTTAATTATTTATTTTTCTGTATATGTGTTTTTAGCCTACATGTATCATTTTAGACCTGCTCCAAGGGGTGGTCAGAAGAGGGCATCAGATCCTCAGGGTTTGGAGTTACATATGGTTGTGAACTGCCATGTGGGTGCTGGGAATTGAACCTGGGTCCTCTGGAAGAGCAGTCAGTGCTCTTAACCACTGAGTCGTCTCTCCAGCCTAATACTTACTCTTGTTGGTGCCTCTGTTTACGCAAGAATTCCTGGCAATTTCTTATACCCATGCTGCCAGAGAAGGAGGCAGGCCATCCCACCCTCTATCACATTTCTTCCGGGCAGACCGCAGAGCCATGAGCTTGCCTGGGCACGTTGTGCTAGGGTACAGTCGCCAAAGTCGAAAGATTCCAAAGACAAAGACAGATTTGTTACAGGACATACAGATTTTCTCCATCAGAAAGGCAATCCATGAAGCTACCCACTAGGTCAGCCTAATTCATAACTTGTGTATTTCCTTTTCTGTAGAGGAGAATGAAATAGTTGTGGGGGATGGTGCCCCCTGGAGGCAGGAATTAGCTCGTAAACATTATATTTGGGGTACACCCCAGGTCTGCTGTTATGGATGGGATCCAGGGCCTCACACGCTAGGCAAGTGCTGTCTGAGCCACACCCCGGACCCAGGGCTACTTTGCTCGTTTGCTGAGGTTTGGTTTTTGGTAATTTAGCAGGCCCCAGACCTTAGTGGCCCCAGACCTTAACACAACTGATTCCATGATGGAAGTACCATTCAGGCTGCGGAACTCAGCATGTAGACAGCGCCACCAGCTAAAATGAGAACAGAGAGCTGATCCATCAAAGTCCACAGTTCTGGGAAAGTCTCTGAATTGCTTTTTGGCTTCTACAGTTCCGATTCTGGCTAAGTCTCTTGCTAACTGAAGTACATGAACCCAGAACATGGTTTTTGTGTGTGCCTCAAAGCTCATCCTGAGGAAGGCTCAGTGCTACCTAGGAATCCCGGGCTCCCAGCATAGTCACCAGCAGGCAAATAAAGACTTTATTGGCTTACACCTGTGTCCAAGTAGTCTTTTTTTTCAGGTGGATACCTCACCAAGGTAACTGACCTGATTAGCTGTTTTTTGTTTTCTTTTTTTCTTTGTTTTCCCAACTTGAAACAAGCTAGACTCACTTGAGAAGAGGGAACCTCAATGAGACAATGCCTCCATCAGACTGGCTGGTAGGAGAGTCTGTGGAGCATTTTCTTGATTAATGATTGGTGTGGGCGGGCCCAGCTAAGTTGTGGGCGGTGCCAAAGGAGCACCTGATGCCAGGTTTCTGCCTTGAGCCAGGATGGGCTGTAAGGTGGAAGATGAAGTAACCCTTTCCTCCCCAAGTTGCTTTTGGCTGGTGTTTTATCACAGCAACAGAAAGCAAACTAAGACACAGTCATGTAACCCAGGCTGGC